ATGTTACGCAGGACTTCGGTACTACCAACAATCAATACGAAACTAACGATTTTAAATTGGCTCACTACTTGACTAGCCTATTGGTCCCAAGCAAACGATTAACGTACTCCATTCTAGTCGTAATTCTGGTACTACGCACTGTTTGTTTTGATTCGCTATGAAAGCTTGACAGATAAAATGAGGGGTTATTGGTTTTTCCTATGTTTTGAGGGGTGAATCGATAGGCTTGGGACCGAAGAGAGTACCAGAGCTGAGCCAAAAAGTTGAGCACGTTATTTCGGGACCTTCTAGTCTTAGAGTTACCTCTATGGTACTACCTTTATTAGTAAGAGATATGGTTTTAACAAATGTTGTCGAAGACTCGACCGTATATTCACACTATTTCTCAGTACAAGGAATTTTCAGTCTGACACCAACTTTCTCTACTGGTTCCTACTCTACCGGATGCAATTGCGATACAATCGCGACAAACTGTTTTTTTCTGTTTATGTTCTGCATTCACTCTCTTCTCTCTTTCTCACTCGGTTCTCCTCTTCTTAGCTCCTGTCAAATCCCGCACACCCAGTGCAAAAACAATGTGTCCTATAGTTTATACACTCGCGTAAATTGTCACTTTCAATAGATAGTACATCTTCCACTCAGTTGCCATAGGAATCAGGACCCTTCTCCAAAATCTCAACACCGGTAGAACTCCCGGTCGTCGCAGTTAAAATCAGCTGCCCAATCGCCTCCGTATACCTGCCATGCCAAACGATAGCTGACATCCGAAACCGCCTCGAAAGCTTTATCGAGACTCTCGATGAACTATCCGAGATTTGTCAAACAAAAAACTGAGAACATCGAAGACTAACGTCCAACGTTTCAAGGCATAAAAGTGGTTGAAAACGTCCAAGAAGCAGAAACAAGCTGAACACTGAGATTTACGTTTGGGATTGTTTGAATCGGCGTCTGCGACCCATGATCCATCAACATGAAGGCCGAGTTTTATTTTGGTCCGATTTGGTGTAAATGCACTACTCGAAAGACACGGTAGCTTGGTGCAATACGTGCCAAAAGAATCCGGAGGCCCGATCGATCGCAACTTTTTGGGCCTTTTCCAAGGGATATCTACGGAAACTCCTTAAGGCAGCGAATTCTATCGAAGAATTTGTAAAAGACTAGACAAAAGTGGCCAACACTATCGCCAAGGAATCTATGCTGAAGCACATGCGCATCGTCAGATCAAAAGGTTCACTCCTTGGCATACAATTGAAGGAACTGCGGATTTTTTTTCATCCAATTGAAAGAGAATACTATACAATAGAGTTTTGTTGGGACAACCATCATGGATATGCTTTGCAATGGTTTGAAGAGTGCTGTTTTTTGCTGCTGTCAAATCAGCCTACTGATCATTCTTGTATGAAACTGGTTCCAAACGTAAACAAACGCTGTAGGTTTCTTATGGCTTGTTTACGTTTGGAACCAGTTATGCGAGGTAGGCGACGATTGTTCGTATTTGACAGCCACCTCCTCCTCTTGGTTTTTTGCTATAGCCTTTCGAAGTGCTGCGAAAGAAACTGGTACTTTTTCCGTTGTGTCTGCCAGGATGCTTACCAAATCTTCTTCCATGGTGAGTGCTGCAATCACAAATTCTTCCTCTGGTGGATTGGTTCGGTCGATGAGCAGGGATAACAAATCTGCACATCCGAAGTCGTTGGTGGACACATGTTGAATTTCAAAGTCGTCTGCGGTTGTAAGTGTCCTCTAAGCATATTGCACAACCTTCATGATTCCATCGGGAAACTGGTGAAAGATTACTGCAGCTTGGGGTCGTAGTGTGTCAACAACAAGTTTGATTGAAGAACTGTCTTGATTTTTTTGAAAACTTGCTGACACTTGGATGTCCATTTCCACTTTGTTTCTTTCCTGAGAAGCTTGTCCATGGGATAGCGCAGTTCTTGTAGGTTGCGCAAGAATCTTCCGTAGAAGTTAACCGCGCCCAGAAACTATCGCAGCTCGACGTTGACGTTGGTTGGAGGTGGCATTGCAGTGATGGTTTTGATTTTCTCGGGGTCTGGACGGATACGATGTGTCCCAAGTAGCGGATTTGCGACTGGAAGAAACTACACTTCTCTGCCTTGACGTGGAAACCATACTCCTTGAGACGTAGGAAAAGCAGGTTGAGTGATGCTGCATGCGACTTCAAGTCCCGGCCGAATACTATGGCATCATCGATGAAAGAGCGAATGCCAGGTATTCCCGCAATCATTCCATCAACCAGTCGTTGTAATGCTCCCGGTGCAAACTTCACCCCTGGAGCGAGGCGATTGAACCGGAATAAACCCCGATGCGTATTGATAGTGAGCAGCTTTTTTGAATCGTCATCCACCTCGAGCTGCAAGTATGCATCGGAGAGGTTGATGATGCTGAATACGGAACTGCCATTGAGTTGGGCGAAAATTTCCTCCGGAGTGGGAAGCGGGTAGTGATTAGCTTCTAACGCCGCGTTGAGTCCTGTTCAACAGTCCGCACAGATACGAACCCGGCCGTTTGGTTTACGTACAGCCACGATTGAAGCAGCCCACTCAGAGAAATCGATAGGCTCGATGATACCCCATGATTCCAACCGTGTAATTTCAGCATCGACCAATGGAATTGTGTTGAAAGGAACTGGCCGCTTGGGACAGAAAACAGATTGAGAATTAGTTTTGAGGAAAAGCTTTACCTATAACTTCTTGCAATGTCCTAGTGAATCGTTGAACACATCTGCGTGCTTGGCCTGGAATTCACGTACTTGCTGATCGATTGGTTTTGTCTTCACTTGGTTGCAAATCGAATCGATGGGAATTGAACACAACTCGAAGAGTTCGATCCAGTCGATGCCTAGCAGGTTGTTTCTCACTTCGCACTCGAACTCACCCATCAAATGGAGCGGCTTGCCTGACGCGTTCATTGCGTCAATGGTTGGTTTCTTGATTGCAGGTTTGCCCAGATAGTTCCAGGTTTGCTTCGAGATTACCGTGATGTCGGTCGCTGTGTCCAGTTGTAGCTTGGTTTCCACGCCGCTGATGAATGTTGACACGAACTTTCGCTTGCTTGAGTGTTGAGCGATGTGATTGACGATGTATACGCCTCGGGATTTTGCCTTGTAGGGTTTGCTTGATTTGTTCGATGACTTCTTTTCCTCCCCAGCTTGAACGGGTTTTGTTTTTGAGAAGCAGCCACAGTAGCCTTCCTTGTGGCCGATACGGTTGCACTGCTTGCACTGATGATTCGAGAATGGACAATCCCGAACATAGTGCATCTGGCCGCATTGCTAACAAGGTTTGCGAGGCGATTTACCTTCCGTCTTCGAAGACTGTTGTTGTCGAGAGGTTCCCTTCTTCTCCTGAACTGCGTGCACCGTTGGTTTCGAGCTTGACTGACGCTTGATCATGCATGTGTCCGCCTTGAGATTCACGAGCCGTTGGTAGTCGTCGATCAAGTTTTGAAGTGCTACGGGAGCTTCTGGTATTTCAGCTTCGATCCAGGAGAGTAGCCTACCTCGTATGTCTGTATAGCAATGGCTTTTGAGACCGCAGACAAACACCAAGCATTTGAATTGGTCAATCTTCACGTTCTTGAAATCGAAATCCTCGCAAGAACGGTTGACTTTGCCTCCGTAGCTGATGATGTCTCCTGCTTCAGATTTCACCAGCTGCAGGCACTGATATCGCTTGTTGAAGATGGAGGGTTTCGACTGTGTCAGCAAAATTGACGTCTTTTGGAAACTTCGGCAGGATGTAGTTGGTGTACCGGGTGTGTGACGGTGTATCCAACTTCCTTAGCAGCAATCGGACCTTGGCGGCATCTTCCAGGTTCTTGGCATCCGAATCGAAAAGATCCGCGTACCGGCTGTACCGCGTCTCGAAGGTGATTCCATTTTCCGGGTCTAACGGAAATTCGCTGGTGTTCGTTGCCAAGGCCTCGAGTGTTTGCTCCGGGTGGCTATGGACTTAATTGGGTTCCAAAGGCTTCTGTAGGAGCGCTGGCATCTGGAGAATTGCTTCCTAAAGTTCTGTCATCGCTTCTGGTTCTTGAATACTCGTCGCCAAATTGATGTGTCCGGAAAGTAGTTCCGGAACAGAAAGATAGCTTGATTAATACTAGAAATGTTTCGTTATTCAAGGTCTAACGTATCATGCCTCAGTACTTGTCAATTGCACCGTTTATATAGTGTTCCAGTGATTACTATGATCCAACACTACACAAAAAAGTTACATAAACGATTATGAATTGTGATTATGTGCATATGACTGAAAATCAAAACGACATTTCTCGCTGGCATCACTGGCCTTCCTATGTCACTAATGTTAATTTTGATGTCGGACGTTTCGTGCCCCACACGCGAATCCCGTTTTGTTAGGAGGAATGTTGAACTAAAATTTTATTTACTGTACATCATTTACACATTCGCCCTATTCAGATAACTCTTATGAAATTCGTGAGTTTGACAGAACCACCAGCATCACATTTTCGGGGTACACAGGAAATATACTGGAGTTGTCAAGTTACCCCCGAGTTGTTCTCTACCGACCATAATGTGGAAAAACTTTGTTGACGTGAGGCCCGATTATAAGCTGTTCTAGACGAAACCACTAACCGCTGGGAGTTTCGCTACGAATCGGATAAGATTTGTTGGTTTTTTACGAGATTCGTGGGGCAGAAAATACTCACAAGTTTTTGTTTGGAAATTTTTGAACCAATTGAGAAGCCTAATGGAATAAACAAAGTAGTCAATCTTAGAAACGATTGGCAAAACGTCAACACGCGACAGTGATGCCGTTTTACATTATATTGTTTGTGTCCTACTTGTCAACGTGTGCCCTAGCGTACCGAACAGTGTGCCATGTTGTGTTTCGGCACAGTGTGCAGAGTTGATTACCTCTTGGTCTTGCCCCTCCTTCGATTGTCAACGTATTCTAAGTCACTCAACCTGGCATCAATTCTTATCTTAACCCCATTCTCTTCTCACTTTCCAGCTCCTCAACGTCCACCCGGGTGCCCGCATCAGCAGCCAGCGGGAACTGCAGCAAACCAAGCTCCTCCGGGGAACCAACTTTGAGCGGGTCCTATCCAAGCAAACGAATCCCCTCTTCAAGCCGTCGAAAGATCACCTCAACTGCGATCCCAGCTTGGAGCTGGAGGAGATGATCATCGAGACGAAACCGCTGCACAAGAAGAAGAAGCGGCTGGCCAAGCAACGGTCAATCAACCGCGACGGTCAGAATCCGAACCAGGACCAGCTGAGCCCGTTGGACAGTCAGCTGTTGAAGGAGTTTCTGGTGTACAACCGGTTCAAGGAGCAGAAACGGAAAGCCATGGAGAAGAAGGAAACCGAATGGCAGCAGGAGCTGGATCAGGCAATGGCCAGTTCGGAAGTGGAGGGAACGCCGGTTGCCAAGTCGGAATCGGTTGGGACGCGGCTGGCTACGATTAGCGAGGGAACGGCGATGGCGACGGTGACGGAGCAAGGAGAAAACGGAGCCTGTCAGGGGGTCAAAGAGAACACCAACGGAAGCAGTGATGCAAAAAGTGAACCAGCAAAGCAGGCGGATAGTTTGGATTACATTGACAGAACGCCATCGCCGAAGCCGAGCATCTAGTAGTAGTGGTGTGAGCTTCGTTGTTTACCGGTGGTGTTTGTATTCTGGTCGTTCGTGTATGTATTAGTCGGAAGGAGCTTTTGACGGCTTTGATTGTATTGTGATAAACCGAATGTGTATCTCGTCTTTAGGTTTTGGATTTTTGCATAGTTTATTCAATGTGTTACCGGAAGATGTCGTTCAGAGATATTGTGTGTTATTGGTAAAGGTTGCTGATTTGTTAGCATTTAAACGGCGTGCAATAAGAGGTAAGCGTAAACATTGCACATTAATAACGAGACTGAGTACATTAGTGAGAACAAAATTAACGTCAGAGTCGGGCAATCAACAAACAGTTAAACATGATTTCCATTTGGATATGAATAATTCTCAGTACTTTGTAGCGGAGAACAACATCCGGCAGTACAGCTAGCATTTAACAAAAAATAATAACAACAACAATCATCACCTGCTAGGCCGCTAGTTTGCACACTCTCGCACACACACTTATACCGAAATATTAGTAGAGTGAATATTAGTAAATAGTCTACTGCATCAAAATCAAACGATCGAGTACCGGAGAGATCAAAGAAGTAGCGGATATCAGTGAGGTCAAATCAGTCAACATAAATAGTGAGACAAAATGACAGTACCGTGTGTATACCACCGTAGAAATGTAAACAAACAATGGCTAACAATTTGAATGGATTCGTCAATTTTTTTCGCCGTGAAACAGCTATTGGATGAAATAGATCCAGTTGCATATTGAACTTTGTACGGTTACCGTTTTACTTCAGTAGAGCAAAAAAGAACGCCGCGAGGGAGGCGACTCTATCTACGATGCGGGAAAAAATGTGTTTTGCTGTGGTTAGCTGCGCGCACACTAAGTAGATCGAAAGAAGATTGATTACGGTTCTGAAGATTTCCTATAAAAATGATGATTTTTCGAAGATTGATTCGCTAGTGTGAGATTTGTTGAGCACCTAGAATTGAGATTTAGATGTGTCGCCTCCCTCGGAACACCGTGGCCGTGGGTCTCCGGGAGTCGACGATTTTTCTACACCACAAAATGGAGCGTGAAATTTAATCGATTTCCATGTCCGCATTGCTGCGTGATTTTCATGTGTGCGGAATGCATTGCACACTTTCCGGTTGTTGAAGTAACGAATTGAATCCACGCCAGTTGCCGGTTCAGTAAGCAACCGTTTCAATCGGATTCGATTATTTCGGTGTAAATAACGAGGGAATGTGCAGCGTGGAAAATTGTTTGGAGTTTGAGGTGAAAAAAAAATGGAATACTGATGCAAATAATTGCTGCTTCGAGAGCTGCATGGGAGGGATTTCAAATTGTAGGTTTTGTTTAATGAATTGGAATTGACTGATTGGCAGTGGACGTTATTAATATCATGTGGAGCAATTTCTGAGCTGTGAGCGAGCGTGGATGTCCAAAATTCCTCCTATTGATAAACGTTTGCAACATCTAAGAATAGAATATTTGAAATTTTTAATTTGATTTAATTGATTCACGATGATGACGGTGATGATGGTCCCACCTCTTCCTCCTACAAAGGTTTGAGCTGAACGATTAAGTATGGCATGTAAACCAGATTTGCAAACGAAAACGAATTGGTTACTGTTAAAGATATAAATTCCATGTACAGTTAACAGTTGCTTCACAGCAATTGTGAAAAAGCTAAGGCGTTCACCTCTTTGTTCACCCCCCGCACCTTAAATCTAGATAAACATTTCAAAAGGTCCTATCTGCATTGAACGATTCTCTTCATCGACTTTCTCTTCCATTAATAACTCAACTTCAAAAGCATTCCCTGCTGTGTTCAACGTTCTAAGCACAAGATAGGAACTTCTGTTATCAAACTGTGTGGCAAAAATAGCATCAAATGCATTTGCGTAGGCGTGGTTATCAAAAGAGAAAGTCGATGAAGAGAATCGATCAAAGCAGATAGGACCATTTGAAATGTTCATCGAGAAATATGCACATGTCATGACCATGTTACAGTCGCTACAAATCAATGGAAGACGCATCGGAGTAATGAGCAAAATCCCAAAACTTTATAACTTCAAAACAAAATATAACCAGGCTTGGGAATTGTCAACCTCATGACGATAACCTATGTAACAACGACAACAACAAAAAGTCAACGCTCATCTGACAAGCACGATGCAACAAAATTCTGCTTGAAAGACTGATCTACTGGGCTGTCTCTCGACGAAACATTTTCTATTCTTGTCTTTCTCTCATTTGGTCACGAAACACCTGTTGCGTGACGTTTTTCAGAATGACTTAGTTGTTTCACGTACGTCGGACGACAAGATTGACGGAAACTGTCGACATGGTTATTGACGAAAAAAGTCTGTCATGTCATTCTTCCATTCTGTCGCGACAAAACTGCCGCTGGTCGTTTTCTAATAAAGGGCGAACACGAAATTATTGCGACACATTCAACAGGGCATAACTTTTTTACCATTGGGTAAAAATCAACCAAATTTTGCACACTTTCTCATTGATGTGTATTGTGTACATGCTGTCAAACTCGAAGTCGTGTTTTTCGATTCAACGAGAATGGAGGTTAACCAACGCGAGTTGAGAGAACAAATTCTTTCCAAACACCTGGAATTTCCTGACCTGTCACACCGGCAGTTGGGAAAAATGTTGAACATTCACCATTCAACCGTCTCCAGAGTGTTGAAGCGGTTCCAGGAGCGGTTGACGTTGGACCACGGCAAAGGAGCTGGAAGAAAACCGGGACCGGAGAACAAAAAGACGGAGGGAAAGGTGAAGCGGATGATTAAAGCAAATCCCAACGTCTCAAGCCGTGATTTGGCTAAAAAGATCGGCATGTCGCAGAGATACGTCCAGAATGCAAAGAAAAGAGCTGGACTACATAAATACAAGGTACAGAACTTCCCAAACCGCGATGAGCGGCAACAATCGACGGCTAAAACTCGGGCACGGAAGCTCTACGAGAAGATGCTGACAAAATATGGCTGCTGTGTGATGGACGACGAAACGTATATAAAAGCCGATTTTAAGCAAATTCCGGGGTTGGAGTTTTTCACCGGCAAGAGCAAGTTCGATGTGGACGACAAATTTAAGAAGAAGAAAATGTCGAAGTTCGCCTCCAAATATCTCATTTGGCAGGCCATCTGCTCTTGCGGACTGAGGAGTGAGCCTTTCGTGACAAAGGGCACAGTAAATGGCGAGATCTACAAATCTGAGTGCCTCGAGAAGCGCCTTTTGCCGTTCTTGCAGCAGCACGACGAAGCTCCGCTATTTTGGCCAGATTTGGCATCATGCCCAGGCATGGAAAATCATTTGCATTCATTTCGTGCATTCATTTACATTCATTTGCCCCTAACTTTTTTCATCAACAGAATTCCTCAAAATAATGTATTGAACTTTTGTAGGTTTTGCTATTACCTAAAACTTTTGTTAACAACTCAAATCCGTATCTCCTATGCATGACAAATCAGAGCGAACAGAATCCACTACTGTTTTTCAGTGAATGTATTTTACATTCACTGAAAAACAGTAACAAGTGCTGCCCGCTCTAATTCGTGATGCATAAGAGATGCAGATTTGAGTTATGGACAAAAGTTGTAGCTAATAACAAAACCTACTAAAGCTCTATACATCATTTTGCGGAATGCTGTTGATGAAAAAAGTTAGAGCCAAATGAATGTAAATGAATGCATGAAATGAATGTAAATGATTTTCCATGCCTGATCATGCCACTATTCTAAAAGTGTCCTGGACTGGTATGAGGCCAATTCTGTCCATTTTGTTCCAAAGGACATGAATCCGCCAAACTGTCCGGAGCTGCGCCCGGTGGAGCAGTACTGGGCAATAATGAAGCGGGAACTTCGGAAGAGCAAGAAGACAGTCAAAGACGAGAAGGACATGTTAAGAAAATGGAAAAAAAAACTGAGAAACTGGTACCGGATGACACTGTAAAGACTTTGATGGAGGGCATCAAGCGAAAATGCGTTCAATTTTACACTCAAGGCTCCATCGATTAACTTTTCTTTTGATTTTTGAAGTAAATATATGTATATAACTACCCTAAAATTTTGGTTTGATTCTAAACATTATAAGAAAATTGGCATGACATTTTCGGTGTCGCAATAATTTCGTGTTCGCCTTTTAAATGGATGTCGCTTTGGATGCGAGACATAACAAGATAGAAATAACTGGAATTGTGTTGTTTTGACGAGATTTCACCTCTGACTCGAAGTAGCTTGAATCTTGGCGCTGAACTTCGTGTTTGCAGTGATGGGTATTTTTGAAATGGACACAACTGAAAGCTGCCGAAAATCGATGTTTGGAATCCAAGATGGCGGCGTACGGTTTTAAAAAAAGTGGGAAATACTGCCAAATACCCTTCAATATGCATATTTTCGGAATCGGGATGACGTCTAGAGACCGAAAATCGATGTCCAGCGCCATCTGGAAATCAAAGATGGCGGCTGCCGATTTCAGAAAAAGTGGGAAATACTACCAAATACCCTTTAATATGTATATTTTTGGAATCGGGATGACGTCTAGAGATCGAAAGTCGATGTCCAGTGCCATCTTTAATTTCAAGATGGCACTGAACATCGATTTTCGGCCATCTTGAAATAAAAGATGGTGGCTTCCGATATCAGAAAAAGTGGAAAAAAAAACTTCCAAATACCCTTCGGCCTTCAATATGGGTATTTTTGGAATAGGGATGACGTCTAAAACCCGTTAATCGATTTCCGACGCCATTTTTAAATCCAAGATGGCGGCTTCCAATTTCAGAAAAAAAAGTGGGAAATACTGCCAATTAAACTTCAATATGTATATTTTTGGAATCGTGATGACGTCCCGAGACCGAAAATCGATTTCCAGTGCCATCTTGAAATCAAAGATGGTGGCTGCAGACTTCAGAAAAAGTGGGAAAAACTGTAAAATACTTACCAATATGGAAATTTTCGGCTCAAAGACGACGTGCAGATGCCGAAAATTGGAATGCCGAAATGGCGTCAGCCATCAATTTTCCGTCTAGTGAAGGGTATTTGACAGTCGTACATCGATTTTGAGCCTCTACATATCGTCCCCATTCAAAATACATATGTTGAAGTGTAATTAGCAGTATTACCCACTTTTTCTGAAAATGAAAGCCACCATCTTAGATTTCAAGATGGCGCTGGATATCGATTTTTGGTCTCGAGACGTCATCCCGATTCCAAAAATATACATATTGAAGTGTAATTGGCAGTATTTCCCACTTTTTCTGAAATTGGAAGCCGCCATCTTGGATTTCAAGATGGCGCTGGATATCGATTTTCGGTCTCGAGACGTCATCCCGATTCCGAAAATATACATATTGAAGGCTATTTGGCAGTATTTCCCACTTTTTTCTGAAATAGGAAATACCAATATTGAAGGAAATTAACATTATTTCCGGCCTTGTTTTAAATCTAACCTCCGTTTTAGAATAGATGGTTTCTTGTCGTGAACCTCCTTTTTAAACAACCTATATAGACTTTGTCTCAGAGAACAGAATGAGTGACATATGACTAGAATAGAAAGTCGCGACTGGA